TCCTCCTTCTTTCTTTTGTTTGATTTTTCCTGAGCTAAATCCTATGTCTAAATCACTCAAAAGGACAAACTATACCAGTAAAACGCCTATGCAATCTTCGTCTACTACATTCGCGTACATTATGCACGGTTGATGTGCCTTTCTATGCAAAATCTCACGAGAATTTAAAGAGAAAAAGAATAAATGCACTACATTTGTGTCTACTTTCAGAATGACAATTCATTCAACAACCCGGGCAGCCGAGCCTATCTCCTCTGGTGAAAAAGAGCAGATCGACGAACTCAGAGCAAGGTTTTTACATTTTTTTCCAATTTCATTTTTGATTTGAGATATTCGTGTTTTAGACTCACAGAAAGCCTAAAGAAGATTCCTGAAGATCTCGATACCGATCTAAATTTGGCACGGTGGCTTCGTGGGTATCAAGGTGACATAGAGAAGATCTGCACGGTTAGTTTTTTTTTGCTCCTATGAAAACAAAACCACATGCCCATATCTAAGGGTTATCATTGTTAAAATAATCTGACAATATAACTCTTGAATCCTTAATATTGCTGTCACATGTATAGCCTCGTAATGTTATCTCTTCTAGGCCACAATAGTCTTATCGTATTTCATAGGAAGTGCGTTTCGTTGAAATGCCTGATCCTCTAAGGGTTTTAGCTCTGAGATGTGCTAGTGGCTTTAAAATTGAAATTTTGGATTCGCTGAAGGTCACATAGCATTCTGCACTTCTTTACCTCTTGACTTTTAATTCCCCAAGTCGTTTAGCACGTAGATTACTTCTATCTTCTAATTTCAGAGGAGATTGAAGCTTTAAGGAACCATATTTCAGAACTGGTAAGGGGTGACCTATACGGTCACTATGCACTGTAATTATGGCATTTAATATCACCCTACAATGATGTTCCTTCGAAAAAAAAGTTTATTTTCCATGGTTTTGCCAAATTGTAAGAATTGAGCCAAACTTGAAGTAGTGGGATGCGGAACAAGACATTTCCACAATTCACCACAGATTTTTTCACTATACTGAGTAACATTGGCAAGGTACACCTCACAAACATTGGCAGTGCGATTTTTGGGAAGCCATCTTCAGAAATTTCTCAAATTCAAATCTTTATACCTTATTTTAAGTACTGTTGTAGAGCATGTAACTTCCTCTTGTAAAAGAATGCAAAACGGAATAAAAAAAAATGACGTCATCGGAGAAAATGAATCCCTTGCACCACTGATCAAATTCAAAATTACCTGCAATTACGCCTTTTATAGTGGCAGTTGACTCCTTATATGCGGATTGCGACAATCTGTTAAAGTCGTTAATCCAAAGAACTCCTTATCCCAGCGCGGATTTAATCAATCTTGACAAGTTTTCAACCAACGCCCTCTTTCTGCAGTAGTTCATCAGAATAACTGTCTCCTCTCTCACTTCATTAATGAGAGTGCAACACCCGAAAACTCAGCGCTTTGTTACTGTGGAATCGTGCATCTCCTTTTCTGTGAAAAAGAAAAAGAGATCTAAAAGGTGATGATCGTAGAGATTTTAGTATGCAAATAACTATTCACTATGTACCATGCAGGTTACTGCCGCTAATTACCAACATCAATATATGAAACTTTACAAAACAACTCCAGTAGAGAAAAGCGCTAAATGCGTTTAAAGTAAATTTCATTGATGTCGCATCTCCTTATTACAATATAAAGCATTTGTACTATGTCGGCTTGAAATGTGTATGACGCAGAAATTACGTCTACACTAGTGAAGAAATGTAAGCACTTTTAATTTTCAGAATTTTTCTCATTACGTTTCCTCGCGGAATGCTGCCGGTTTTGTCGGACGAGATCTCCCAGAAAAGTGGGTACTTGAGCTGTTATTTATTTAGCACTTTTCGATGAAGATTTTTGACATGAAATCCATGTTTAGATATTTTGAAATGCCTGCCATCAAACCATTCCTGCCATTTATCGCTTCATCACGGCTGGGCGACTCAGTATGGTCTGATGAACACAATGCATTCATGTTTGTTGAGAGGGCATGGGCTCAGCCACGAGAGGTTCGAGCATTTTTTGTGAGCTAAAAGCAGTAAAAATAAAAATAAAGAACTACACTTTACAGTTCATCAAAACATTCAAAACCAGCGACTATTTACTACACTGTTTCGGATACTCGGAATTGCTATTGCAACTAATTCTCGAGTAAGTTTTCGAGACGTTTTGTTTATGGGCATGCCACGCCCAGTCTCTCTCTTTTGTGTGGATAGGTTACGCCCACTTTTTAGTTTTTGCGATTGCAAGGTTTACATTCCAACGATTTAAATTTATAGTTGTTTGTAGCAAGAGTTAAGTTGACTAATCATAGCTCCGCTATCTTTTTCAAAAAGAAGATTAGCCTATAATACAGTCACACAGTTAGCTCTAAAATCACTTTCTCATCAATCAGCTTTCTAAGAACGATTCCAATTCTCCTTACAACCCTTCAAAACTTGATTATAGTTGGTTCGGAACTCTATGTAGCTAGGAAACTCTTTTTACGTTCTTTTTGTCAACAGACGAGTATATGAAAGTGTAGGAAAGGGGATTTGGAAAAGAGGAGCGCAATGTTAGTTGGAATGTTTATTTTTTCTGTTTACCACACGAATTTCTAAGTTTTCTGAAGCATATTTTTGAGCAATTTAGTGACATTCTCAAGAAATGGATAAAAGGAGTGTTTACCTTTGACTACGATATGCCCTTATGACTAACTTTTCACTCCTTCCAATCTCCTCCCCCCTCCCTCCCCCTTCCTCCTCTTCCCCATACAAGCAAAATATCAGGGATCGGCATTGCTGCCTCCATTAGAATTCAATGAGGTTCTCGGTTTATCTGCATAAGTTGTGTAAAGTATTGGTCTTTACAACGGTCAGTGTAGACAGCTAAAAGGGCTAAAATGCTCCTACTGTAAACATGTGACGTCCGAGATCCAATTTCTTACATTTAAACTCTGTTTTTTTTAATGGGTGGAGCCTACTCTTTCCTTTCAGACGCGAGCGAAAACAACCCAAAGATCGTGGACCAGTACAATTTATTGTGATTTTCGATCTTGCCACTGTAAACATCACTGACTATGTAAATCCTATGAGTGGATATATGAAGCTATGGCAACTGCGGTCAGACCTCTGGCAAGATTGGTAAGAAAATTTGAGGGGACATTCGATTTCTAAAGAATATACAAAATTTAAGGTATCCGGAAGTGGTACAGGTGATCTACCTCGTTAATCCACCTCGTCTTGTTAGTGTGCTGTGGAAAATTGCTCGGTTATTCCTGAGTGAGGAAAATCTCCGAAAAATGGTGATTGTTGGGGATAAGGAGATGCCAAAATATATAAATAAAAACTATGTTCCGAAGGAATATGGAGGTAGAATTCTCTTAAAAATTAAATTTTAAAGACAATCTGACCTTTTAGGTGAATTTGTAAATAAAGATCTACCCGGGGATGAGTCAGGTGTTAGCATTCGACGAAAAATCACATCTGCTGACCACTACCAGGCTTATCAGCACTACGAAATACGAGGGGTTCAACGGCCAAAACCTGCAAAAAAGGTATCACTCCCAAATTCTTAGGAGTGTCTGATTAAACTCAAGTATCGAATTTTCCAGGATATCTCACCCGGAGAGTTCTTTACCATTCCAATCATAGTTCCAGATGGTAAAAGTCTTTTGTGGGATTTCACAACAAGCGGTGAAATAGAGTTTTTCATTTACAGAGATAAGGTAAATAAACTCAAAATACTTCAGAAAGTCTAGGATTTTGTTCATTGAATTTTAGGATGAACGTAATCTTGTTTATCCTCGCCTACGATTGGTTTCAGCAAAACTTGCTGAGGAAGGTGTCCTACCCAATCTGCCTGGAGGAGAGTATTCATTAGTGTTTGGTAATCGTGGTACCTACTTTACCACTAAACTTGAATATGCTATTACGCTTGTTTGAGTATTTTTGTGCAAATCAATAAATATATCAGCGCCTTCTTCCGAATTTTTTCTTC